ACTGTTCCCAGGACTCCTACTCCAAGGACTTTGGCCTGGGCCAGTTCCGCAAGGCGGCCGACTTTGAGACTGATGACCTCATCCTGGAGAAGCTGGGCAAGAGGGTCAGGACGTTCGCCTAGATCTCGATCAAGATCTGATCTGAGATCTACGACTTCAGGCAACCGTGTCCAGCGGGGCAGCGGAGGGTCGAATTGTCCCCTCTGTCGCCCCATGATGGCATGTTGGGGTGCAGGGCAAGAGAAAGGCAGACCGGCTGCAGCACACACGGCGGCCTTGAGCGGCTACGGTCGAGCCGTGGCCTGAGATGTTTGCAAGAGAGTGAGCGTGTGTCTGGCGGGTGCGTGCTGCTGGGACGGACATGTGGGTGCCATGCAGCTTCCGCAATCTGGCCGCCTGCACAGCAGGCCCAGGCCTTTTGTCGCGGCCGTGCGCGTTCACCTGCTCCATGATCAGGCGTGGAGCGCCAGCCAGGGGCTGGCGCAGGGGTGCGCGAGGGGACTGCCCGCCACAGTTGTCACGCCAGCGGTTGGAGCGGGGGTCAGTGTCAGGGCAGGCTGCTGCTGAGATGATGCAGTGGGGCCCTCCCCAGAGGATCCTCCGCGCCCATGGCGCTGCCAAGGGCGGCAGGGGCGGACGGGCGCGCTTCAAGGAGTGCCTGCCGCAATCTGTAACCCATCAACCCGCGGCCTTGACGCGAGCCTGCTGGGGGCGTCCGCTTCGCGGTGCAGCTCGCGGGGCGCAATTTTGCGCTGACACGCTTGACGGTGCGTGGGAAGTGCAGCCGGCTGCACTGATCGGTCCGTACCTCTTGTCGGGCCTCTTGAGCCATTGGGTGTTGCTGCTCGTGTTACGGTTGCTGGTGCTGCTGCTGCTGCTGCTGCTGCTGCTGCTGCTGCTGCTGCTGCTGCTGCTGCTGCTGCTGCTGCTGCTCGTGTTGTGGGTGCTGGTGCTGGTGCTGGTGGTGCTGCTGGTGCCGCCGCTGCTGCTGCTTTCACATAGAGCTGAGTCTTTGTTGTCCAACCCAAGCCTCAGATGCAACGCGAGAACCGCATGCCAGTGTGGCTCGACCACGTTGCCCGTTGCTGTCACGTCGACTGCGGTGACGCTCCTGACAGCAACGCAGCCGTGAAGGTCACATGGGACTGCTGCTGGCAGTCCCTAGGCACCCTCATTTGTGGCCTTCAATATGAAAGCTTGGGGCTCCTCAACGCTGTTGTGGATCAGGAAGCCGTGGCCTTCTCATATATGGTAGTGTACCGCATGTGCAGTTTGCGAACCGCACTGCGGCGTTGCGGGCAGATACAGATACAGTTTGCGCACAAACCTCGCCACGTAAGTTGTGCAAGCTCTTTGCGCGATCAAAAGCGTCATCGAGCTGGTTGTCACCCGAGTGCCGCAAAGTATGAATCCACGGCAGCTTGTTGCCGAGCACTTGCACGCCGATTACGGTACGCTTCGTGTGCCTACCCCGAATAATAGCATATTTGGCTTGAATGAGCATCAAAGCACTCCTGCAGAGCATCTCCTGCAACTCAACAGACCTCAGTCGACAGTCTTCACCTCAAACAAAGCATGGTAGCAGCACAGCCGCTACGCGCGCTGGCCACCTTGGCGCTGCTGGTTGCAGTTGCCGCTCAGATGGATCACAGCGGGCACATGGCTGGCATGGCGATGGCTGCACCCTCGGGTGGCAGCCGCCCGCCCTGCGTGGTGAGATTGGTGGCTGGCCGCCGACTCGTACTTGCATCCGCAGCCGCCGCCCGGCTGGCACGCCAGTCGTTACACACACTCACAACCCCTCGTCCCGACCTGCCCACGGTGTGATGATTTCGCATCTCCTTCACACGCAGGAGAACCCTACCACTAAGAACTGCTCGGAGTTCAAGCTGCCTCATCCTGTCGTCCAAAGTGATCTGAACTCCCTCTGCAAGGTGCGCACTACCATTCATCGCAGCTAAGCAGTGACTGTGCAGCAGCAGCGGCAGCGGCGGCGGCGGCGGCGGCAGCAGCAGCAGCAGCAGCAGCAGCAGCAGCAGCAGCAGCAGCAGCAGCAGCAGCAGCAGCAGCAAAAGTGGTCAAGCTTTTGACCAGCCTGGCAACTAGCCGACCAACCCAGCATTCCATCAGACTTTCGGACATTTAAGGGCCTGTATGGCCCGCATAATCGTGCATGCGCCACCTCCATCGCGTCCCTCCACTAGGGCATGCACTTCATGCCGGCCTGCTCCATATACAAGGCCTGCCGCGCCATGGGCGACGGCCCCGACGCCGCCAACGGCTCCTTCACTGCCGCCATCGGCGGCAGCCCCGACGTCTGCAGGCGCTTGAACCTGGTCGCGACCGTCTGCAAACAAGACACGGGCATGGCGCGCATGGCCGGGTGCCTGCCCAACTACCACCCGATGTGCAGCACCAAGGGCAGCGTGGTGAAGCGGTGCACGGAATACCCGGGCTTCGCGCAGCTGCCAACAACCAAGGCCGTCAACGACGCGGTGCGTGGCCCTCAGTCACAGCAACACACGGCGGGCCATGCTCCGGAGGCTGGGCCGGCAATCTGCTTATGAGCCGGGCACTCAAGGCAATAAGCCAATGACATGCAGTTTGCGAGTTTGTGGCTCACCCCCACATCCAGGTGGCAAAAATGCGATGCAAGCCTGCGGGACTGCAAGCCTGCTCATGCTGTGCCTGTCCCGTTTGCTAGCTTGCTGCCACCCCTGGCCTGTGCCGAGCAGGAATGCGAACAGACACGGTGCGGCCCTCACGCTCTGCCACAGGTGAAGCAGCTGTGCACGGCAAAGCGGTCGCGCCCCGGCTGCGCGGCCTGCCTGCCGTCCTTCGACGCCGCCAAGACCTATGGCAGCTGCGACCTGCTGGGCACCTGGGGCGGCATCTGCGCTGCAGAGCCCAGTGAGCATGACTCTCAGCGCCTTGAGTCAGCTGTGACCTGACAGCGGCCCGTAGCCGCCTGGCTTGCTGCAACCCTGCTGTGGTCAGTGGCCACATGCAAGTGGTTGCATGTTCCTACTTGCGTCAGTGGCCACACAGCTGCAACATGTCAAGGAATCCTGCAACACCGATCTGTCGCCATGCTCTTGCCCGTTCACCCCCAGAGCTGCCCCAGTGCGCCAACCACACGGCTCTCTGCGCCAAGGACAAGGCCTGGTACTTCTGCAAAGCGGGCGCCACCGCCATCACGGACAAAGGTGCGGCGCTGGCCCTGCCCCCGGGCCACATTGGCAGCCTTCAAGGCGGGTCAGGGAGTGTGCATGCGGGGGTCGACCACCCGTCGCGCGCCCCAATCAGGCGAGTTTTCCGCTGTGGTTGCCACCACTGCCAAACTTCCTCAGGCTGGAAGCTGCTCAACGCGACACTGACAGCTGCCGCCACGACGGCCGCTGGCCCCAAGGCAGCAGCACACGATATGTCAGGCCATGACATGGCCGGCCACGACCATGACATGGCCGGCCACGACATGGCCGGGCACGACCACGACCATGACATGGCGGGCCACAACAAGACAGCTCCCCGAGGGCTCTACGAATCGCCTGCCTCTGCCAACACTACTAAGCCCAAGGCGGCTTCACGCGCCGCTTGCGCCGTCGCAGCTCCTCTGCTGGTGAGCTCTCAAGCGGGTGGGCAGGGGGAAGGTGCCGATCCCACTGTGATGTGAGGCCGCCCACGGCCCCTCTTAAAGTTGGCTGCTGCTGTTTGGGAACAGCAGTCCGCCTGCCAATGTGCGCCCTGATGCCACCCCGTCTCTCGGACACTGCCTGCTGCAACGCGCAGGGCCTTGCCCTGGCAGTGGCAGCTGCGTTGGTGTGAGGCAGCAAGAACACAGAGGGGCCTTGTCACTTCTTGTGCTGGGCATACCACCAGCGCTGTCCCTGTCAATTGTTGGGTTTTGTCTAACTTGGACTACTTGAACCTGCATTGCGACTGCCCCTGCTCACTGCTGTTGGTCGTGAGGGAAGGTTCATCGGTTGCCGCCAGACATTGTTTGTTGCTTGCTGCAGCTTTCCAATTCTCCCGGTAATCAACATCCAATTGCAATCCATCTGTTGACCGTCCGAGATGTCACCAGCTGTGTGTTGCGTACACCGTTCTTTGTTTGCAACAGTCACGGGCATACGAGAGGTGGAGTTACAAGAGAGCGGGCGGGTGCGTTGAAAAAGAAAGCGGGCGGGCTGCAAGCCCTGAGACCCACTGCCGTGCCGCTTTGCCCTGCATTGTGGCGCCTGGATGGAGGTCTAGGGTGGGGGTCAGCCGATTAGAAGTAGCCCTGCTTGCGGCCCTGCACGCCGATCTGGCCCAGGGTGAGGGCCAGGAACAGGCCCAGGTGCCAGGTGATCTGCGGGTGGCGAGATTTCGGGGAGAGGAGAAGGGCCGAATGAGGGAGGGGCCCAGAGCAGCAGGGGCCAAGCCAACACGTGCACACAGGAGTACGTGTCGCGATGGCGCAGGGGGACAGGGGTGACAGCCGTCGCTGCATGCTCAGTGCGTTTCACAGGCCTCGTCGAGGCGTGGCTCTCACCAGGTAGAGCCTGCGGACCACAGGGGCAGCGGCAGCATGCGAAGGAGGGGCATGCGAAAGAGCAGTGACGGTCAGCTCGACGAGCATGCACGACCTTTGCAATGACGGCTGCGGTGTTGATGCTCGAGGGCGGACTACAGTTCATGCAGTGCATCAGCCGCGGCGCGCTAGCGGGGGTGCTGCGCCCGATCACACCCAGCTGGTCGCGCCTAGCCACATGCCAAACATTGTTTGCGGATGATGCCGTCGGGACGCACCAGAACTTGTCGGTCAGCGCCGGGCCGGTGGGGAAGTGGGCCAGGTTCTCGCTGATCGACGCGGTGAACAGGCCGAACAGCGAGTCGCCGCCGAACGCGGGGGCGGGCGAGGCCGAGGGGATGGTCCAGCCCAGGAAGGACGCGCCGATGACGAGGGGGTCCTTCTTCAGCCTGCGCGCGGGGCCAGGAGGGGCGGCAGATCATCACACGCAGATCACGGCGCAGCACACTGAGGGGGCGCGCCTGCTGCCTTACACGCCAGTATCCCCATTCTCATCCTGCTGCACCAAGCCCTCAGACAGAAGGATGCCAAAGGATCCTCTTTAAGCAGCAATGAGCCTAGATACAGCTGCCATCATGGCCAGGATCCGCACCACTCGGGGTAGGGGCTACCCGCGGCGCGGCACACCACAGCGCGGGTGCGCAGCACGGGGCTGGCGCGCTGCACGCTGCGAGTAGCAGGGCGAGCCACCGACTTCTGCATCGAGAGCTGCATCTTGGCTGTCGCTGTGAGTGGGTCGCTCCGGGGCGGAGTTGTAGGCTGCGCGAGAGAGCAGATCCCTCGACCAAACGACAGGATTGACAGCTGTAAATGTGCTGGCTCGTGCGTAGCAAACGGGTAGGCCCCCCTGAGACGCTATGGCAGGGGCAGCCGAGCCGGCAGTGGGGTTCAAGGAGGAATGATACGGACGCCTGGAGGGGCTTTGTGGCTTGATCAAGACCTCGATTGTCGGCCATATCAAGCTGAACACCGTTGCATCACCTGCTGTCCACGGTGCAACCAGATCGTGCCGGACACCCTTCGTATCCAGTATGGCAAGCCTCCCGCTAGTTTTTATGCTGCTGGTATCAACGGCTATAGGTCAGATGGACCATAGCGGCCATATGGGTGGCATGGCTATGAATGACAGCGACATGGCACCGGCCGCCGCAGACTCGTCGCCATGCGTGGTGCGCAGTGCAAAGGGCGCCGTGCCGGGCCGTGCTGCAAACTTCTCTGCACTGAAATGAGGTGCTGCAGATGCGGGTTGCGGATGCATGCCTTTACAAGGGCTGCACGATTCTCGGGGGCCTTCTTCCGCAGCTGCCTCGGACGACGCAACACGGGGGTCGCGGGACAACGGGACATCGCCACCGCCGCCCATTCTTGCCGCCGCCCCGCTGCGTGCGCTGCGCTGCGCCTTGACACACCCATCGCCCCTACTGCTGTCTGCAGAATGACCCCACGCAGCCGGCCTGCGCAACGTTTGCACTGCCTGATGAGGTGTTCCACGCTGACCTCATGGCCCTGTGCAAGGTGAGGGGCACCCGAGGGGACCCCGCGCACGTGCCGCGTGCGCAGCTCACAGCTCTTGCAGGCTGCGGGGCGGTGGCTCGGCTGCCAGACACAACTGACGTCACCGCCCTCACCAGCTGCCCGGCAGTCTGTGGGATGCGGCGCGCAGCCCTCCCTCGGATCACCCCCAACTGCTGCGCCCGCTTTGTCGGCGCCCCGCAGGCGATGAGCTTCATGCCGGCGTGCTCGGTGCACGAGGCGTGCACCGCGGCGGCGCCCTTTGACGACGCGCCGCTGTCGGTCAACTGGACCTCCCAGATCAGCCCCGACCCCAAAGCCTGCAGCCCCATCAGCCTGGTGGCCACCGTGTGCACAATGGACACCGGCATGACTAACATGGCGGGATGCCAGAAGCACTACAAGCCGATGTGCCGTGCCAAGGGCAGTGTGGTTGAGCAGTGCCGCGAGAACCAAGGCGTGGCGGAGCTGCCGACCACGACGACCATCAACGATGCGGTGCGTGGGGTGGGGTGGAGGGCGCACACAGTCAAGTCCAAGGGTTTCCCAGGCCGGGCCGGCCCAGGCGCGCACGTGCTGCCGAGGTGATGCTGGAACAGCAAGCCGTGGCGCTTGATGCAGGACGATTTTGCAGGCGCAGCGGCGCGCTTGCTGTGCGCATGTGGCGCTTGAAATGGCAGCGCGCCCACCCCCCTTGCCTCGTGCTGCAGGTCAAGCAGCTGTGCACGGCCAACCGGTCCCGCCCCGGCTGCGCGGCCTGCCTGCCGTCCTTCGACGCCGCCAAGACTTACGGCAGCTGCGACCTGCTGGGCACCTGGGGCGGCATCTGCGCCGCAGAGCCCAGTGAGTCTCGCGGTGTTTAACCCTCGCACATGGACGTTGACGGCGTGGCTGTAATTGCTTTTGCTGGTTGCGACAAGGCGCCCCGTCGCCACCCCACCCACGTCCATCCCGCCGCGCTGCGCCCTGTTCCCCACCACCCAGCGGTGCCCCAGTGCGCCAAGGCCGCGGCTCTCTGCGCCAAGGGCAAGGCATGGTATTTTTGCAGCGGCTCAACACCAGAGGCTTTTGCTGAAGGTGGGTCGGCAGGGCTCTTGGACTGTGATGCGATGCAGTGGGCGATCCTCAAAATGAGGGGTAAGATGGACCTCGTATCCCACCTTGAGGGGCGCTAATTCCAGGGAACCCGTCGCTGTTCGCCTGCAGGCCCAAGCAGCAATGCCACCTCGGGTGACAACGCCACTGTCGCTGGCCCCACGGCTAGCAGCCCCAAAGCCGCCACTTCTGCGGCCGCATTTGCGCGACTCAGTCTTGGCCTGCCTTTCCTGGTGAGCAAGTTTGCTTGGCGCCGCAAATGTGGTGTTGCTGTTCAGGTGCTTTCAAGAAAAATGCAACACGCCGCATCACGTGAAGCGTCGCAAAGGCATGCATGCAAGGAAGCAAGCAGGTTGGCCCTGAACATGCTGCACTTTTAAATTTGGCCTTGAATGCGTGCTGTGTACTCGCCCCCTTGATCCGCAGACGATGATGATGGCCTGCTGCGTTCTGTTGATGGCGTAACGCTGCAGCCAGGCACTGCAACTCAACCCTGTGGCCAGCTTGGCGCCTGCTGGGACAGGCAGGACGCTGGAACACGCGCACAGTGTTTCCGCCGTAGGCGGCCGACAAGACTGACCTTGGACTGTATCATGACCGCATGACTTCTGCAGCAGAGGCGAAGGACGGCCTGCTGACCTGCACAGGCCGGGGCTGAGGGGACTCCCTACTTACAAACACCCCCATGCATACCTTGACTTGCTTGCATTTCCAAGCAGTCCGTTCTTCCGTGTCCATCCTGGCCACTACGCAGTCATGGGCCAATGCTAACACATGCAACATGTCTTCCTAGAGGTCACCACGCACGATGCACGAATGCAAACGAGTTGCTGCCTGTTTCTCCCCAGCACAGGGCCACTGCTTATCAATCACTTGCCTGTAACGTGTTTTTCTCGATATGGCCCCTGCAGCCACGTCACGGTGCCAACAAAGCAGTGCTTCTACTGCAGCTCAGCAGTGCCCACAGCAGCTGCCCCCAGAAGGCTGGCGGCATGGGGCAAAGCGTGCAAAGCGCATGCTGCTTCGGTCAGGAGCTGCTATGTGGGACCTGTATCTGCATGTCATATGTGACGGTGGCACATGATGAACCGTCCCATACACTTGACGGCCCACTTCACCAGCTTCTGTCAGCTACTCCTGTCGTCAGCTCTTGGTGTCCTTGATGCCGACCACTATTCAGGCATACGCGCACTTCCAGGCTTCTTTCACGTGATACCTGGCACCTTAAGAAACATTATATCGTCCGCTGACCGTCCATCTAGCTGTCTTCGGCGACTGTACCAATTTCCTGCGCGCAAGAGAGACGTGCGCCAGTTCGACGCGCCGTCATCCAGCGTAGTGGAACGTGTTGTGTGGGAATTATAGAGCCGTATTGAACAGCTCCAGCTTGTTTCGGGGCGGCGCCATCTTGGCGGGACGGCTGCAGCCAGCAGCAGTGTGGCCATGCAGGGGTCAGCAGCGCTGCGCATGCTGGTGCTCCTGGCAACAGCAGCAGCGGCATCAGCAGTCAACTGCTATGAGACACCAAAGGACCCCAGCTGCGCGGCATTCACGCTTCCGGTGAGCAAGGAAGGCAGGTGGACTGCAGACGCTTTGACGTGGACCCGCGCTGGGCGTCCCCAGGCACAGGCTGCTGGCTGGCTGTGTTCTTGAGGTCGGGGCCCATAGCTGGGCTGTGATGCTCAAGACTGGTCCCATATCAGGCCGTCAGCTTGATTCAGGCTGCGTACGCAGCAGAGCTGCGCCGCGGAAGCTAGGAATGAACGCCACCTGCCCTCAGGCGGCGTGGCGCACGCCGCAACCGATGGTACATCGGTACATCCCCCCCCTCCCCAGCTGTCCGTGCGGGTCACAGGCAACGCGCCTCTGGTTCCACGCTGCTGTTGTCCTCAAACCCCCGCGCGTGCCCCCAACCCGCAGAGGGCGGAAGCTGTGGCTGACCTCAACTCACTCTGCAGCGCCATGCACTTCATGACGGTGCGCAGTGACCTGGAACCCTCGGGTGGCTGTGCAGGAACCTCGGCCGGCCGCATATGAACTTCTGGCAGCACCATCATGGCACTCACCTCATCGTGTGGGCCATCTCAAGCAGTTTGTGAAAGCCGAGGCTGCCGCCGCTGCATCTGGACGCCGCGCACTAGCCGCAGGCAACCCTCCTAGGGCAGGCTCCCCCCGACGCCCCTCCCTCGTGGCTCCCCTCTTGCACCTATGTTGAGCCCCCCCTCCCGCGCTCGACCCGCCGCCCCAGGGCTGCTCCCTGTACAAGGCCTGTAACGCCACGTCCCGCCCCAACGTGGGGGCCGACCCGACGATCTGCGACCCATTCCAGCAGCTCGCCACCGTCTGCGGCCGCGACAAGGGCATGGGCGGCATGTCGGGCTGCAGGGCGCACTATGCTGGGCTGTGCGCCAACGGCAGCGCGGTGCGGCAGTGCAGGAGCAGCCCCGGGTTTGGCCTGATGACCACGGAGGACGCCAACAAATGGGTGGGCGCGCGGCGGGGCACCGGGGGTATTCCGGGCTCGCCTGTGAGGGGTCAGCGAGTCCGCCGGCGTGTGGATGGGCCGGCGTGTGGATGGGCCGGGATGGGCCGGGATGGCCAGCGCGTGCCGGCGGCCGTGGCCGCTTGAGTGCCACGACTGGGCTGTGTGGGGGGCGCAGTTGCTGTCTGCATTTCGCGCGACAGGGCATGCCCTCTTGCCCTCAAGCATGCACACACACATGTGCGCACACAGACACACACGCTCCCTCATACACAGACACACACACTCTCTCACACATGTGTACCCTCTCTTGAACCCCCAGGTGCGCTCCATATGCGAGGAGATGGACATGGACGGCTGCGAAAGGTGCACCCCGGCGTGGCAGCAGGGCAAGACGTGGGGGGGACCAAACTGCGACCCATTCGCAGTCTACGGCTGGCTCTGCGTGCAGATGCCGGGTGAGATTGGAGGGCCAGCAGAGGAACGGGCACGCTAAGGGGGGTGGGGAGGGTTGGCGGGAGAGCATTGTGGTGGTGGCGCGATGCGCTGTTGATGCCAGGGGATGTGCCAGCGCCTCGTGGACGTCGCTTTTGGGGGTCTAGTCTGCCTCCTGTCTTGTTTATGTCCAGGGCGCAACACGCGGTCTTAGGCCGACATTCGCGTCGCCCCCCCTTCGACGCCGCCCCGCCGCGCAGACATGTGGCAGTGCATGGGCCCCGGCCGCTGGGACGAGATCTGCCGCAAAGACCCCACCCTGTACGTGTGCGTGGGCAACGCGCCCGCCCTCACTGACAAGGGCTGGTGGCGCCCGTCCTCGGGGGGCGGCGGCGACGGACCCGCGCCCGCGCCGGCGCCGACGCCGGCGCCACCGCCAGTGCCAAGCGGCGGCGGTGGCAACGAGCCTTACAAGCCGGGTGAGCGGGGCCTGTGGTCGTCCAGGCGTGAGAGGAGGACCCGGCTTTTGCTTATGCGAACCCTGTGCGCACCCGCGGGCGACTGTCAGGCAGCAGCACCATTTTTTGATGTTTCCAAACCCCTCTCCCCGCCTCCCCTGCAACCCCCATACCCCCAACCCCAGGCCCCACCATGAAGATGTACTTCTTCAACCAGCTGCCCTTCTGGCTGCTGTTCAAGGAGTGGACGCCCGCCACCAGGGGGGAGCTGGCGGGCGCCTGGTTTGCCATCTTCTTCCTCGGGATCTTCTACGAGCTCGTGCAGGTGGGATGCTGCTGTTATGGATCCAAGGTTTCGTCCAGGGTGCCAGGTTGCCTTGAAGTATGTTGGGGCTTGCGCCCAACGCAGGCGTGTGACAGAGCAGCCAGAGCTCAGCTCAGTCTAGAGGGCCGGGCCTGAAGGCGTCGCCTGTGATGGGAGAACCTGGCATGTGAGGTTGACGCAACGACCGGCCTGCCTACCTGCGCGGCGGCCACAATCCCTGTGCGGCTGGCGACCCACCGACCAGCCCCCTGTCCCCCCCCACTTGGCCACCCAAAGACCGTGAAGTTCAGGGTGGAGGCCGCATGGATGGCCGCAGACGCGAAGCAGGCAGAGCTCGCGGCGGCGGCCGGCGACGACGACGGCGGCGGCCCCGCCGCGGGCTGCCCCTGCGACGAGGCGTCCGACGTTGTGGCCGTCCGGATTCCGATCTCCAGCAGCGGCCGCGTCATGGGGGACGTGCTGATGAGCAGCGGCGGCAGCGTTACCGGCCGGGGCGGCTCCGGGGGCGGCCAGGCGCCGCAGGCCGGCAGCTGCTGCGGCGGGCCGGGCGGCGGTGGCGGCGGGCTGCAGCCTGTCGGGGAGGGCGTGGAGGGCGGCGGCGGGGGCGGCTGCTGCAGCAGCTCCCGGCCCCAGCCGGCGGAGATCTCTGCGCTGAAGGTCCCCCTCGCGCCCGACGGCCTCAAGGGCGGCGCGCTCTCCTCTCATCACCACCACGCCCACCACGCCAAGCGCCGTGGCGCCGGCGCCGCGGGCGCGGCGGCGTCGGCGTGGCTGGCGCGGCAGCGGCGGCCGGGCGGCGCGCTGGACGCGTCGCTGCTGGGGCGCGACGCGGCGCGCTGCGTGATGACGTTTGCGACGACCGCGCTGTCGTACCTGCTGATGCTGGCGGCCATGTCCTTCCACATCGGAATATTCTTCGCCGTGTGCAGCGGCATCGCCGTGGGCTCGGCGATTTTCGGGCGCTACCGCTCGTTCTACGCGGTCGCGCACCACAACAGGGACCCCTGCGGCTGCTGAGTCGCAGGGTTGCGTGCAAACACGCCCGTGCGGCCATCCCCTGCAGCGTTACTCTTGAGTCGCCGCTGCCTCAGCTGACAAAGCCCCACCGGCTGAGCCTGAGTCGTAGACAGCCGGGCCCAGGCTCTGCAGAGGCTGCTACTCGATTCGTTGCGTCGGCCGGCAGGAGCGCCAGTGGCGAGCGGATGGGCGGGCTGCGCGGGGGGTTTTCGCTTTTCGAGGCGGCTGCAGCCAGGCGGGGCCCGTTGTCGGTGAGTGTGGAACCCTTGATACGGTCCCCCGATTGTTCAGTGGCTGCACCCCAGGCAGAGCTGATGGGAGGGCCCTTTTGGCGCTTCCGAAATTTGATTCTTTCCAGCGCAGCGTGCCGTTTCGGGTGATGGCAGCCTGACTTTGGCTGATGCTTGGTGGGCCTAGGCTCTCATCGGCGTCGTCCCTGTTGTCGCTGGCCTGCGGACGACCCGCACCGGGCAGCGCAGCTCGTTTTGTAGATGAATTTATTGTGCGGGAGGTTCATGGCGGTGACAGGCGCAGGCAGTGCCTGCCGCCCACCCCACAACTGTCAGGGAAACCCGTTCCTCGCGGCCAATTTGCAAATCTGCGGTGCAATCCACCAGCTTTCCGGCCCCATGTGCTCCCCTTGGTAGTGGTTGAACCAGCTGTCTGTGCCTTGCGGCCATGGCCTCCCAGAACCACCCTGCTGCGGGCGCCTGCAGCGCTGCATGCTGCCTGGTTGGCCCGTCTTCTTGCGCAAATCTTGCGCACAGGCTCCTGAGGCCCCCACCGAACGTGAGTTACGAGGGGTCCGCTTGTTGACCAACGCCTTGCTTGGCTGCGTTGATTCTGGTGGCACAACCAACACTGTTGGGTGTCCCTGTAAACCCGTTGTCAACAAAACCTCCTGCCTGCGGGCTTGTCATTGCGACGCCCTAGCGTAAGCAGCCCTCAGGAAGAGCACCAGACCAGGGAGGCTCAACCCGCACCTCATCCCGCACAAAATGCACCAGGCAGACACCGGTCAGCAAAGCACCGCGCGACAGCCTCGCCCCCAGATCACAACCCTAACCGGGGTCCCAGAGCAGGCAGCAGCAGCCGGTGCTGCAGTGCATACGCTAGAGCCGCGTGTTGGCCGCCGCGAGCGCCGCACCCGCGGTGCCGCCGGGGACCGCGGCCAGCAGGCCCTCCTTGATGACGAGCCGCACGCTGGACTGCGGCTCTGCCAGGGCCGACGCGTCCAGGGAGGGATCCCGCGAGAGCAGGACCAGGTCGGCGCGGCGGCCCGGGGCGACGGCCCCCAGCACATCCTGGCGGGGCGACGTGCGAGGGCGGACCGGACGACATCAGCAGCAGCGGTATGACGCAACACGTGACGGTGCGTTGGGGGTTCTGAGCGACCCAAAAAAGCCAGGGTCCCTTGGTCTAACGAATGTAGTGTCCATGTGCCGGGTGCCCCCAACGCAGGGTCCTTCAAGCGGGGTTTTCAAGCGGTGAGCCCCTGAGCAATGAGCGCCCCTCATCGGCGGCCCACCTCTAAACCGAAGAGGCGGGCGCAGTTTGAGGTGGCCTGCTGGATCGCCTCTACTGGCGTGACCCCCGCCTGCGCGCGCAGCAGGAACTCCTCAGACTGTAGAGAGGGGCCCGTGGGCGGGGGAAAGGGGGAATGTTTTGGGGTAAGGGCACCACGAGTGGGTGGAGCCGCGGGAGAGTCGGCTCGCAGTAAAGAAGTTCTTGGTGCGGGAAGGTGGTGCATGCGCGTGCGCGTGTCATGTCCTGCGACCGCCTGCTCAGGCGTCCAGTGACAGCCCCTAGAAACACGCAGCGATGCCCTCGGTGCCCCTACTGCCCTGCTGCCCTGCACCCCCCCCTCTCCTCCATGACTGCGCCCCTCCCCACCCCCCACCTGGTGCTGGTGCAGCTCCCCCAGCAGGTCACTGCCAAAGCACAGGGTCACCCCCGCAGACCGCGCCAGCCGTATGGATGCCAAACCCTGGTGCACGGGTTTGCGGGCACGGTCTTGTGAGTGTGGGAGTATGTCAGTGGGCATACGGGGCGGCAAGGGGAACTCACTTGCCTTGAGAGAACATCAGTAGCTCTGAGATTGAATTCACGCGCATGGCTAGCCGTGCTGCAGGGCGTTCAGGCCCGCAGGAGTGCCAAAACCCGCCCCAACCACCTGCTCAACCGCGTCCGCCACTTTTGCCACCAGCGCCTCGGCCATGCCCGCCTTGACCCCATCACGCCTGCGGCTCACAAGGGGGGCAGGGTGGGGGCGCGGCAAGGTTGCCCGCGGGGCAGGGCGCAGAGGATCGGGTGCAGCAGCCCGGTGAAGAAGCGACGGCAGCCAGCAGCAGCCTGCATCGCAGTGCCTGCCTTGGGTCATTGCCCCTCCCGTGGCGAAAGCCCATTCATGCGGCCCCCTGCCCCCACCTGAGGGCCGCGTACGTGACGGTAGTGCTGACGAGGAACGCCCCCCTCTCCACCATCATCGCAGCGCACTCTTCGTCCAGCCAGTTGCCGTGCTCAATGCTGCGCACGCCTGCGAGTTTAGCGGCGCATGAGAGCCGTGCGCCGTCAGCGTTGAAGCCAGCGCAGCGCAGCAGCTTGAAGCGGGAGGCTTGCCAAGCGTAAGGGACAGCTCAGCAATAACATCGTCGCGCGCTGGACGGCGGAAAACCAGTGAATAGAGAGTACTGTGTTGGGCAGGCGCACAGGCAGGGAGGCATTCTGGTGCTCGCTGAGGGCTGCGCTGAGGGCTGCCCTGAGCGCGCACCGCACTGGAGGGCGCGCTTGATGGCTGATGGCTTGTAAGCGTGGGCGCAACTGGCAGGGGCATTGGCGTGGTGTGCAGCATCGTTTCTCTCACACTGACAGATACACCACACAACGTGGCCAGTCAAACAGGGTGGACGGCATTGGAACAGCAACAGCCGGGACGGCTTTTCTTGCTCGCGCTGCGCGCCTGCAAAGTTCAAGCGCATCCTTCACGTATGGCGCTGCTGTTTGATTCTGTCTCGCTCTGTGGAACCCACACATATGTCCCTGCAGCTTCCGCCTCCTCCACAATGGCCCTCAATTCCTCCAGTGAGAATTGGGTGTTGGTCAGCCTGGGGTGAGGTAGAGCGTGCATGCGCGCTTGTGCATGTGCATGTGTGTGTTTGTTTGCGTGCGTGTGTGAGTGTGTGTTGCGTGTGTGTGTGTGTGTGTGTGTGTGTGTGTGTGTGTGTGTGTGTGTGTGTGTGTGTGCGTTGTGTGTGTCGTGTGTGTTGTGTGAGTGCATACGTGTGTGCATGTGCACGTTCGTGTGACTTGCAGATAGGCGCATGCATGTGTGTCCACTATGCTCTCTGTGGCAAACGGATCTCAAACCTTGCAGGCAGCCCTTTACCCTTCAACCTCCAGCAACCAAAGTTTGGCTGCAAACTGCGAGGCGTTTCCGCGGCTCGTGAATGTCGCCTCGGCACACACTCAAAAGACAAGAGCGTGGCAGCATGCCCCTGCCCCCACCTGTCAGTCGGGGAGGCCACCCCCCCTGACGCCATGACCTTGATGCAGTGAGCCCCCCGCCGCAGCTCGTCCCGCGCCGCACGCCGGCACTCCCCCACGCCGTCACACACGCGGCCGATACCGCGGAGAGCGGCGCCGCAGGCACAGCAGTCCTCCCCTTTTCCCCGGAAGTCCCCGTGGCCGCCCGTCTGGCTGAGTGCGTGACCTGGGTGCAGGGGTGACAGGTTTGAGGTCGGCAACGTCGACGGACACGCATGCGGTGCGTGCTGTGTGTGTGTGCTTGTGTGTGCGTGTGTGTGTGTGTGTGTGTGCGCGCGCGTGCGTGCATGCGTGTGAAGCTTGCTGCGGTACGTGCGCTCGCTTCCTCGTGAATGCCAGGCCAAGATCAACCAACCCCCAAAACCAGCCGCCATCCCAGCTGCGCGCCTGTAAACAGGATGCGTGGCCCCAGGATGGAGCCGTCGTCCACCGCCTGCGCCAGGCCCCAGTCGGCACCCCCAGCGTCCCGTACGGTGGTGAAGCCCCTGGCGGGTATATCGGGATGCAGTGACACAGTTGCAAGAAAGCAACGGAGAGTGGCAGTGGGCAAAGCGAGCGGTGAGGGACGAGGCAGGATATCCAGCTGAGCCGTGTGGGTTGCGCACGTGTGTGCATGATCTGTCATAATGATGTCACATGCGCGCGGCCATCCGGCAGCAGTAGTGGCAGCACCTTTGACCCGGCTGCGTGGCAGCAGCGTCCAGCTCACCTCAGCAGCATGCCGCCCAGGATCTCCGCGGCGCCCGCGGTCACCAGGGACTCTGACATTGCATGGCAGAGCGCAGGCAACGGGCGAATGGGATGGGTCTGCAAGATGTCAGCATGCACAGTAAGGGCTCACAGAGTCTGGGGCATGAGGGGTTGCAAGAAAACCCAGCGCTGCATCAGCACCAGAAGAAAATGTGCTGCTGCCTTGCTTTTGGTGGTAGATGGGTTTTCCCTGATTGGAACCTCTACCGCAACTCACCCGGCAGTGATTGCAGCCCCGCCAGGTCAGCTGTGACGGCGGTGCAGTGGACGTGGGCGTCGCACAGCCCGGGCAGCAGCCACATGCTGCGCAGCGCAGGCGAGGCCAGGCGTGGCGTTGCTCAGGAGGTCGACAAGCCATGCCCGGCCGCACTCCAGGGCGGTGCGCGCTTCCTTGGCACCAAGCTGGGGGCGTCCAGAATGATTATGGTTCAATGTGGGCTGCAAAAGATAGGCGGAGGCGACCCTTCCCTGTTGTACTCCCCCTGCCCTCCGCCTCACCCGCCGCAGTCGATGACGATGTCGTTCCTGGCCGCGGCTGCCCCCACCACCGCTGCGGCGTCCTCAGAAACGGCAGATATTGTTTCCCCCTCCACCACCACTGCCCGCAGCCCCTCGCTGAAGAGGCTCTCCTGCGCATCCCAGCAGCGAACGTTTGCCAGCACCAGGCGGTGGGCGGGAGCAGCTGCAGCTCCCGAGACGCGAGCCACCCGTATTCGTTTGGCAGTGCGGAAGGAGTCGCGCAGAAGAACCACAGGTGCTTGGTCGGATGTCACCCTTAGGTTTGCCTGCTCTTCCATCGCGCGGGCCAAAAACTGCAATGATCTTCGGCACTGCGATCTTTCACTGCACGGAGTCGGACATGTTTTATCAGATCACTTGATATTCTTCAACGCTCTATTCATACATGCGCGCATATCTTGCGCACGGCAGGGCATCCGTGACAAGTGACAGCACATGGCAAGTGACACCTGGTGACGTGTGATGTGCGCCATAGGTGTTGTCCCACGGTACTCTTGCAATGCGAGCGATACAGAAAGATGCTTTGTGCCCTGGTAGACCACCAGCCTGGGGGTCAATGCAGGCTACTGTGACAAATTGAATTTTGGACATGTTGTCCCGTTTGAACGTCTGGATGTTGCTGAGGGCAAGTACTTGCATGGTCCCCTCCAGCCCTGTTCACCATCACAGCTGATGTCCGACGATCAGTTTTCGCTTCTCTTATGATTGCAGGACGCAAGTTCTGGCCATTTCCTTGAAACCAACTGCAACCGTTGCAGTTGAGTAATAGTTGGTGACCAACTATTACTCAGGCGCCTCCGCCGCCTTGACACACAGCTGCCTCAGCGCCGCCTCAACTTCAACCCACTCCCCTGTGCAGGTTGCGCCGCCGGTGCTCCGCACATCAGCGCCGCCGCCGTCGCCCGCATCCACCAAACCCTCTGCTTCTGCACCCGCGACTCTGCCGCCTGGCGATGCTGCCGCGCTGCCTTCCTGGACCACCTGCAACGGCGCATCAATCGGCTGACCGCTACCCTGAGCCCCGCCCTCAGCCCTGCCAGCAGCTGCCGCTGTTGCGACCAAGTCCGCCTCGGCTGCAACGCGCCCCTCGCCTTCACTATCACCGGCCTCCCCATCCCCTGCATCCGCACCCTTCGTGCCTGCAGCCGCCTCCTTGCTGCCGGCGGCCGCGACCGGCAGCGGCGGCGGCGAGAAACCCGGGGGCAGGCGCAGTTGCGCGGCCGCGCCGTCGCCCTGCGAAAGCGTCACCAGCAGGCTAGAGAGGGAGGTCTGGTTCAGCAGGCGCGGCATGAACCTGCGCAGCGACAGGTCCTCCTCAGGGCCAGGGATCTGGGCGGGCAGCGGTGGTGGGGGTGACGGGTGCAGGTGTGTTGATATAAGCCTGCGGCACGTGCCAAGTGTCAAGAGCGCTTTTGCCTGAAGCAGAGCTTGAAACCTTTGCTTGTTGCGCAAACACCCGGTTCCGCCCTCAAACAGCTGACGTAGCGTTCTGTTTTCTGAAGACGGCCCCTCGCATCATGCTGCCTCGTGTGAGCATACATGTGCGCATGCCTGCGCATACGCGTCCGCGCGGAAGCGTGAGCCCTCACCCCGTCAAGTGTGTAGCCCCGCCGCTTGGTGTAGGCCTTTGCCGAGCGCACGACCTGGTCCAGGGGGAACCAGGCCATGGCGTCGATGTCGCGCGCGTCTGGGTGGATGCGCCCGGCTGGCGTGGATGATGGGGCCGGGAGCCAGGGGTGGAGCGGGGGGAGCGCTGAGTTAAGGGCCGCGTGCCGTCCGAGTGTAATGTAAGTCAACCCCTGGTTGGCTTCGTGGGAGGCCGCTGGAGCCCAAGGGTCATGCCCCGCGGGCTGCAGGGCTGCAGTCAAATCAACTGGCGCCACTCTGCCATGGCCGTTGCCGCAGCCGCTGCGGGCTTGGCGCACCCGCCGCGCCGCGCCCACAGCCTGCCTTGCGCGTCAGCGTCCAGACCCCCGGCCGCCCGCACCTGCGACCGCTGCCTCGAAGCGCCGCGGCAGCGCCTCCGCGCCGCGCAGCTTCACGACAAAAAGCGCCATGCTCCCGGCCCGCCACAGCACCGCCGGTGCGTGCGCGAGAACGGGCGCGAGCAGCGTGGCGGGCAGGAGGCCGTGCGTCTCTTCCTCCACCTCGCGCGCGGCCGTGCGCTCCGCCTTGCCGTCATCCACTTTAACAACCTTCCCGCACATCCAGCCCCAACCCAGCTTGCCCGTTGGCGCGCTGCCGCTCTGGTGAACCATCAGCACACGGATGAGGCGCAGCTGCTCCTGTGCCACCGCCGGGGCTGCGTGTGCAGCGGTGGCGCCCGCCTCGCCCTCGTCGTCGCTCCCACCCTCTTTTCGCCCCGCCGCCGCCGCCGCCGCCTCCTCCGCTGCAGTGGCTGCGGCCACAATGGCGGCGGCTACCCCCGGGTCTGCCGCGGCCGCTGTGACGCCGCTGCTGTCGCCACCTGCCAGCTCGCCGGCGACAGCATCCGTCGCAGCCGGCGGCCCCAACCCCTCTTGTGGCTCGTCACAATAAAAGACGACCCCTGTGGTTGGTAGCCAACGCGCGGCGTCCAGGCGCAGTCAGGCGACCGGAGACAGCGGGAAGGTTGGTGGCGCAAGCTGCGCAAGAATGGCATGTTTGCAACAAATGCACAGCACAATGCATCACAAGAAAGTGCACGCCAGCTACCACGCGAAGCCAAAAGGTGCGCATGCGCTGCAAAACGGAAGCCATCAAGCCTCTCACCGGCTGCCTTGTAGTGCTGCAAGTACACACGGGGACGCGGCATCTTGTTGCCCGCCTGGGGCGCCTCGTCCTTGGACAAACGCAGCCGCGGCGGCGCCGCAGCCACTGGAGATGCTGTTGGGGGCGATTGCCACGCAGGCCGCTGCAGAGTTTCCGCCTCGCCGCCGCCAACGCTCCCAATCCCGCCGCCGCCGCCCTCGCTGCCTCCGCCGCCGCTGCTGCTCGCCGCCACGGCTGCAGCGGATGCCGAGCGCCGGGCTCGTTGCCAGCCAGCTGCAAGAGCGGGTCCTGCTGTGGCCACGCCTGGAGGACGCCGAGTTGGTGGGGCCCCAAATGCAATGGCTGCGCAGGGGTCGCGCAGCTGCCGCCCGCTAATCTTCGGTTGCGAGCAGTACGCGCTCGCTGCTGGCGGCTGGGCGCATGCGGGGGTGTAATAGCGCTGCTGCTGCTGCTGCTGCTGCTGCTGCTGCTGCTGCTGCCACGGGTGCTGGTCGTGCTGATTCTGCTGATTGTGCTGGATGGCCTGGTTGTGGTGGAAGTACCACACCTGCTGATGCGGCTCTTGGTAATGCTGGTGCTGCTGGTGCCGCTGGTGCTGTTGTCGCTGCTGGTGCTGCTGTCGCTGCTGTTGCTGCTGTTGCTGCTGTTGCTGCTGGCGCGGCTGGTGCGGCTGGTGCGGCTGGTGCGGCTGGTGCGGCTGGTGTGGCTGGTGTGGCTGGGGAGCCCAGTACCAGTAGTGCTGCGGCTGAGGCCACGTCCCTGCGCCTGTGTGCTGCAGAACATCCTGCCACCCCCCCTCTGACAGGTGGCACGGCTGATTCGGGCGATGGAGCGCGCCCCACCCGTGCTCCTGGGGCAACATGCTCGCGTGCTGCCGCCCGCTGTCCAGCGGCCTGTGACAGCGCGCGGCGGCAGCAGCAGCAGTCGCAGTGGTGCGCGCGTCGCCTTGCCGCCAGTTACCGTTCCGCGCGATAGCCGCCTGTGTTCTGTATATTTGGTTTGTGAGTTCACCTGCTGCGCTGCTGCCGTTTTTCACATTGCAGCTGCCAGGGAATGGGCCTTGCCGGCCGCTGAGCACGGGGTGCCGTCTGTGCAGGTCCATATCATATCGGAGGTGCGATGAGGTAAACAATTAAGATTATGTATGCCATCATTACCGTAATTTAATGCTCTGTACGGTATACGCGCCTGTCGGTCATCCAGAATAACGGTGTGCAATCGAATACCGTACAACGGGATTTCATGCAGTACGCAACCTTCACAACATGCCAACATTATTTGTTACATGTTTGTTGCATTGAGTTTCTGTGGGCACCTTCGCGATCTGGCTCATCACAAATATGGAGGAGAGCGGGAAAAGCCTGTACGAGGTGTGTAGGGCTGAGATCAAGCCTGAAGTCTCCATCACACCTCATGTTATGCCCTCATGCCCTGATGTCCCTCGCCATGGACATTGTGCTGTCGTTTGCTCTCCTCGATCAGGTGCTGTGTGTCGACAAGGCGGCCAGCCAGGTGCGGGCCAATGCAACGCGGCAGCCCCAGGCAGTGCTGCATATTGCTATCGGTTGCAGCGTCTCTGGCACGCCTGCCTGCTCAAGGGGGCTTGTATCATTGATGCACGGCGGGCGGGCTACAGCCGAGGGTCGACCCTTGAGTGGGCGCAGCTGACATTTGGTGGCCCCTCGTGCCTGCCCCCGTCCCTCCCACTGCCAGTCTGACATCAAGAAGGCATACTATAAGCTGGCCCTGCAGCTGCACCCGGACAAGAATCCTGGGAACGAGGTGCGTGCCATGAGGGCCGCGGCCACGCATCAGCCCCTAGCGCCCTGCCCTACTGCAGAGCGGCTGGCAAGGAGGGCCGTGCGGTATGCTCCCCGCAACCCATTCCCCGGTGACCCGATGTATGCTATCTTATTGCACACCTCCGCGTGTCAGGATGCCCACCGCAAGTTCCAGGCGCTGCAGCGCATCTACGCAGTCCTGGGAAACCCCGACAAGTGAGGCGCGGGCTGCACAGCAGGGGTTGCAGAGCGGCGGGGGAGCGCGCGCCTGGGCTTGAAGGGGGTGGGCGTGTGCCGATCAAGTGTCCTGACGTGGAAACGGGCGGGATAAGGGCTGGATGGCTGAACAGCCTGTTGGCTGCGCCGTGGGGCGATGATGCGGCACAGGCGGCCTGGCGGCGCTAACGGTCGTCGGGACTAAGGCCTGATGCGGACCAGCGACGCGCACACGCTCAGATGGCATCTTCGCCGCACTTCGTCACACCTTGCCATGCCCCACTGCGGCACGCCCCGCCGCGCCGCGCCCCAGGCGTGCCCTGTACGACGAGACCGGCAGCCTGCAGGACTGCGAGGAGTTGGCAGAGGGGGGGCTGGGGGGCGGGGCAGGCGGCGCGTTTGCTGGGCTCTACAGGTGGCAATACGAGGGGAAGGGGGGTTGAGGAGCCGCGTGCTCGGGGGGAGGCGAAACGCAAGAGCGGGCGCATGACTTTATTGTTTTCCCAAGGGAGCAGCAGGTTGTGATTGGCGTGGTACTGCAAAGAGAGAGGTTAGAGTTGTGGGTGGTGCGCTGTGTTGCGTGCGTTCGTACCAGCCAGCAAGCTTGTGTATGTGTATGTGTATGTGTATGTGTATGTGTGTGGGTAGAGAGTGTGTTTGTGTACGTGCGTGTGCTGCTCTTAACGCTGTAGCAGTGGCTCTAATGGTGTTCCACTCTTGCCACCATGGCCAGGGCCTACTCCGCTCTGTTCAAGAAGATTGACGAGCAGGACATCATCACATTCGCGGTGCGAGGGGGAGGGGGGGAGGGCGCCGCGCGCCGCTGGGGCCCATGGGACCGACGCAATTGCGCCATCGGGCAATGCGACCGCTGACTGCGCTGTGGCGTGTTTGCCATAGCCCATGCGTGAACCTCTGTCAATCAAAGCACACGCAGGCACGCACGCACGCGCGCGCGCACACACACAAACGTCCCGCATACCACCCCGCCCTGCTGGTTACAGGCCAAGTACCGCGGCTCTGATGAGGAGCGCGCCGACCTGCTGCGGCACTACACGGAGTGCAATGGCAACATGGGGCGACTGTTTGAGAGCGTGATGCTGTCGCGGCCTGAGCTGGACTCCCACAGGTTCATGGCCGCCATTGACGACGCCATTGACAAGGGTGCGCGCGAGCGAGTGTGCACGTTTGCATGTGTGCGTCTGTGTGCATGTGTGTGGGCATAAGTGTGTGTGTGTGTGTGTGTGTGCGTGCGTGCATGTGTGTGTGTGGGTGTGTGTGTGTGTGTGTGT